TTTTTATCTAGAAAATAAAAATAACCTTCTATGAAAAATCATACATGAGATGAGATTATTCCGTTTTTTAAATCATTATGAGATAAAGTCGTCTGATCTCACAACTTAAGAAAAATTCTCATTAGAAATTCTTTGCTTAGTCAACGAAAATATCATATTAATAGGATTATGAGATTACCATATATATATATATGAAAAGAAAAAGAAAAACAAAGTTTGATTAATGTATTTTAATAGATGTCAAAGTAATACTAAATTTATTTCAATCAGAAGAAAAAACATTAGCTCATTCTCTTAAATTTCTACTTATCCGAACAACATTACTCACAAAGTCATAAAATACTTGATATACACTATTGAATAAATTCGATTCATAAGGCTTATTGACAAAATCAAATATAAGTATTTCAAACATTGGAGTCAATATATGAAAATAAAGGCTGATCTCTACCGTAAGTTATACAGTTACAATTATTAGAGTTTTATTTAATGTACAAATCGAATTTGATTTAAATGTAATTCGTCTTTGAATTCATCGATCAATAGAAACTATCACTAATAATAATAATAATAATACTAATGCTTAAATCAGAGATGCATATGACAAATGAATAAAATTGCAAAAGCTTTTTCTGAACAACATGACGATAAAAAAGAAACCTATTGAAAAAAAAAATCTGTTTTCCAGCAAAAAAGATATTAGCACAATCCCTACAGGATTAAAATGTGAAACACGACGCAGCTACTCTTGTTAGTCATAGGAGATTGCTTTATTCTATCTATTTTGGGACACATTTCGTCACCATCATTTTATTTAATCATCTCGAAATGCAATAAAAACATAGTTCGTATAGTATAACGAGATATTATTGATATGAAGTCTGAGGGATGGATCCAAATTTTTACTTCTATACTTCAACATTCATTTTAGATCGTGTTTTACAAAACTATTATTATCAGAGAATCAAATTTCAGGTAATCAATGATATATTTATGGATCTAAATAAAATATTTGTAATAGTAAAAACAATTTCGTTGTTAATGAACTTTTTTGTTAATCTATCTTGTCTGTCATAGTTACATTTTCCGAAGAAACTCAAAAGAATCATGCTATAAATATTACGATCAATGTTTGTTATTTGCGAAACAAACTTTTGTGTTTGAACAAGGATATCAAGCATGTAATGCAGTGATGATATTTGGTTTTTGTCACTTTTGAATCAAGAAAGAAAGATTCGTATCTTCACTATTATTAGTTAAACAAATACCAGCGATTCTTTTTATTATTTGTCAATTGTATGCAAACATATATGACTTTCT